GCGGGCGGGGTGGGGACACGGGGCCACGGCCACCCGAGATGGGAGGGTCACAGACACTCGGGTAGAGCCCACCCGCGACGGGATGGGCACCGAAATGCAAGCACAGCCCACCCGAGATGGGACGGTCACAGACACTCGGGCACAGTCCACCTGAGATGGGACGGGCACAGACCCGCGGGCACAGCCCATCCGAGATGGGAGGGTCACAGACACGCGAGCAGAGCCCACCCGAGACAAGAGGGTCACAGACACTCGGGCACAGCCCACCTGAAACGGGATGGGCACAGAAATGCAGGCACAGCCCACCCGAGACGGGACGGTCAGGGACCCGCGGGCACAGCCCACCCGAGATGGGAGGGTCCAATACACACGAGCAGAGCCCACCTGGCACCAGGAGGGTCACGGACCCACGAGCACAGCCACCCAAGACCGGGAGGGTCATGGACCCGCGGGCACAGCCACCCAAGACGGGAGGATCACGGACACACCGCTCCATCACACCGGGAATGGGAGTCAGACACCCCCCACCCTATCTCCCCCCGGTGTTAAGAGGTTTCGACTTGTTTCAGAAGAGATCGTGTCGACCCAAAAATAATTTTTGCAATGTTTTTTGAAAAATTGGATTCATCTGAAACTTGCAGAATTTCCTGAGAAAATATGAATACTTTGCTTTCTACACTGATCTACCTGATCTCAAATCAGTTAGCTTCCTTGCCTGCCTCAGCAGCTTGGAATGTGTTTGAATGCATCTGTTTAAGTGGAGAAAGATAGCTAAAAATCAGGGTGAAGTGTAACAACTTTCATTTTTCTCCCTCTGTTTATAAAATCTCATAAACCAATGAGTCTTTGGTGTACATAGTTTGGCTATTCCCTAGTCCATACAAAGCAAAGGCTAGGATAATCATTCAACTTTTGATTAAAGAAAATTGGTTTTTAGTCAGATACAGTGATTCAATGTATGCAATGTTTATAACCAGCTACCTCAGTATATACTAAACCCAGGAGCTCAGGAGTCCTGATGAACTTCCTTGGTCCAGAAGCTCTGAGCAGACATTTCCACTGTCACCTGATTTCTGCAAACCCTCTGTCTCCCTGCTAACACACTCTCTCACATAAAGACCTGGGCACATGCACAAACCTTCCCATGTCATGTGGCAGGGAAGGAGGGGGAGTTCAATCTAACCTCACCCTTTCAGGAAAACATTAAACTCTTAAGGTATGATTTTCTTTTTCCAAGTAGTCATTTATAACCCATTAAAACTCATCTCTTTCAGTTGACTGGTCTTCTCTTCTAAGGCAACCAACAAAACCAAACAGGGACAATCAAGGTGAGGGGTGGAGGGAAGAAGAGGGGGAAAATTAATGAGAAAAAAACTTCATCAGCCTGTTTGTAAAACAGTTTTTTAAAATTGTGGGAGAAACATATCTTTACACTCTGTTCCTTCCCTCACACCACATACAACCCCCAAAACAGGTTAGACAAAGAACATTTAGATTGTGTCCTATAAAGTTTCACGATTGGTCAATAACTCAAAATGAGGAGGTCAGCACAGAAATATTTAGATGACTGTTTGAAGAAAATTTTTGTCTGCCTGTCTGTAATACAGACCTAGGAAAAGGTTATAAGAAATAAAAAAACACCAGAGAAATAAAGATATCCTAAAGTAAACACATGCAAAAATGTATTATACATTTTTGTATATGTATCAGTTATATTTGTTGCCTACAGATGTTAGAACCCCAACAAGTCTAACTTGAAAAGTGTGTTGCAGTCCCATGCAGCTGAGTTCAGCTGTCACACACAGGATATAGACCTCATCAGACACGAGACCTCTCACCATCCATAATGTGATGAGAGTGTGGGGCTTTCCCAGCTCACATGCAGGGCCTGGCTGGCTGAAAATGGACAGATCAGATCAGATAAGAACTGCAGCAATGGCACTGACAGTTTGCTCCTTTCTGTGTCTGTCTATCCAGATCCAAAGCTTCATTTTACAAGGAAAATAATATTTTCTGCTAACTCAGTCTAGGTCTGAATGCCAGCTGGGATTGCCATCACCACAGTGAAAGCAAGGTTAACAATCCTTATATTATGAGTAATGGAAACCAGCTCTCCTTCCAGTACCTGTAGGCTTTGCAGTCTGAATGAAATTATAAAGCAATATATTTAAGTACATGGATAGAGGAAAATAGGTGGCTCTCAGAATACAAGTGTGGAACAATTTCACTGAGAAAGAACTTTCTTCCCCTAAGTTTGCTATCACACAAGGATTTCAGAAACAAACAATAGAGAAATTATTATTTATCACCATATTTCCTAACATGTGACATCAGTAACCGTCACCTGTTAAACAGATCATAACAAACAAATAGATGAAGTAAGAAGAGTGACAGCAAGAACAACTGTAAATTCCAGAGAAAGTAAATAGTTTTTCTAATGACCAGAGAAATTCTCTTGCTAAATCACCATGAGAAGACATCTCTTCTTTTCTCAGAACTTCATCTTGTAAGTTGCCAAATCAGGTGAGGGAAAGGTATAAAACAATTCCAGAAATACTGAATGTTCCTGCCATTCACAGAAAAAATCAGGTGAAAGGTATAAAACAATTCCAGAAACACTGAATGTTCCTGCCATTCACAGAAAACCAAATACTTCTTGGTTGGGTGGAAAGAATCTTAAAGAAATACATTCTGGAGGGGGAAGGCTGGCTTTTTATCTCACTTCTAGGTTTTCACTATGTTGTCAGAAGGGGCAAAGATACCTCTGGGAAAAACTGCTGGGATAGAGCTTGACAGCTTAACCTTTTCCCTGTATTTTCAACCTCTTGGTTTACCTATAGCATATATATATTTACAGTAACAGCACCACCTTACAGGCACTGGTTTGGGAAGCATGTATCAGTATGGCCTAACCACAGAAAATGGCTCCAAATTAAAGCCTCTCTCAATCAGGAAGCAGTTAAAATCTGCTGAAAGTAAAGCATCGCTGAGCAGCAGGCAATGCTGGCGAGCACAATGGAATGGAGACCAGAGCATGCACCTCACTATCTGTCAACCACCCTTTCTAGCATCAGACTAAAGAGTCCCACTGAAGTCAATGAAAAGGTTTCCATGGAAATCAATGAGGTCTCAGTAAGGCTGTAAAGATGCATCATTAATTTTTTTCAGCCTTGCTTTCACACACATCCATTCCCTCTCTAATATCAGTTCTCATACTATTTATATAACTCAGGATCTAATCAAGACGTGTACTTCTACTTGCTGGGAGCTGAAAAGATCATGCTGATTTGTTACTTCTCTTTTAATATTTAGGAGGTACCCAGTTACACTGGAGACATAAGCTCCACGAAAGCATGTACAGTGATGTTGAGAAGCACTTTGGACATCTGTACACAGGAACTTTTTCATCTAAAGACCTATCACATAGCTGCCAAAACAAAAATTGCTTAAAACCAAGCCCAATTAAATTTAAAGATTGCAATCGCTGTATTTTTAACACCCAGAGTGAGGCCTAATTTTTTGTTGGCTAATATAAATCTCATTAACAAACAAAGAAACGAAGGCATCATTGGTAAGCATCTTCCATCTAAGCATTATATAATTAAAAACCTGGTTAATATCTCCTCTCTCTTCTGCCTATACAGCACTGCTTTGTTAAGACAAAGTTTCTCAGGCAAATGTCCTTAAAGTTGTTGGTTTATTGCTTTGGCTTGCTTATTAATTCACAGTTGCTAGTACATGTAAAAGAGTTTAGAAGCATGGAAATTAATAACTGCACATAACAGCAGAGAAGCTGTGAGATACTAATGGCATTGTATTTCACAAGACTAAAATGTGGGCAACAGACACTATATTAGTATTGTGAAATACAGCACAAAGTGCAAGAAAAGATTTTAAATTATTTACCTTTCTACTTCAGCACAAATGTCCTATAGCCAATTATCATGAGATATTGCCTAGAAATTAACCAGTCATCTTGTGTTTCTATCTCCAGATTTACAATTAGTAATGCTATTAATGTGGATCCTGTACTTAGCATCACTAATTACATTGCTATGAACTAATGGTGTTAAAAATAGCAATAGCCATCAACTACCAATTAATGCTTAATGAGAGCGTATAAACCCTGGCATTGTAATGAATTTCCAAATTATTGTTTCTTGTGTGTCTCTTGAAATCATACAAAAATGTGTGTAGCCTATGAAGGCAGGCAGTAACTGAAAGCACATTTATCACAAAATTTTCAACAGGAACAATAGAAAAATGTTTCAGGATTAGTCTACATCTTTCAGGCAAGGAAGTGGTTAAATACAGATACACTTTTAAAGGCAATCTCTTCAGTTTTTATAAAGGTAAAAGATATGGTGTTCATTGAGTTGTTTTACTGTTGGCAGTCTTGGGCACAGCAGGGCAAGAGCCTAAAATGCAGGAAGGCTGTGAATACTGTAAATAGCATTAATAAACTGCTTGTGTGTTGTGCTGTTGGAGCACAGAGTAGCACTCCCTCTTTCCACATCCAAACAAGTCTTGTTCCTTGAAAGAATATGGTAGGTAAGCCAGAAATAAATCCAAATCTCCTGTGTCATAAATATAGCAGATGCTGTTTACTCCAACAGCTTTCAGAAGCAGAAGCTAGGATGCACCTGGAATCATAAAGCCTGGATCCATTGTGCCTTGGTGGAGAGAAATAGAGATCCACTACAGGTCTGGTCTCTGGAATGCAGTATAAGACCAGGATGCATCCAGGGCTGGAAGGTAAAGGCAAAGAAAATGAAGGAAAATAGTAGGCAGGAACAAGAAGAAAGACTATTAAAAGCAAGTGGGAAATTCTGATTACCTGGGAGAGTCAAAGAGGTCCTTGTTTAGCAGCACAAACTTAACCAGATAAACTAAGATACCTATACAGTGTTTGACATAACCTCAAAATTGTGGATTTACTGCTATTAGATAATGGCTAGGTCCTCTCTGTGAGCCCTGGTATGCTAACTGCAGCTACAAAGAAGCATCAGCATTGCAAGCAACAACAGGCAAGAAGACAAGTACTGCTAAAATGGGGAAGGTTATCTTTCTGGGAAGGAGCCAGTTGAACAAAACCTCTGGACGGAAAGACGACCCTTGGGACCAAATTACTGGCACAAGGGGATCATCCTTAATGCAAACTTAATCCTTAATATCATACTTCATACAAACTTTGAGAGCCCAGAGAGGCGAGATGAGTGCCAGAGCAGTGACTGCAGTGGAGGGCAGAGGAAGCACAGAATTAAACTGCTTTCCCAGTCCAAAGATGTAAGAATAGGCATAGGATAAAGAAGGGGAAGAACAAACATGTTGCAGTCACAGCCAACCTGACCAGTCCTAGCCTGCCAACGAGGAGCACAACAGCTCACACACACCCTGCTGAGACACAAGGGGAAAGGGTCCTGGGCAGCACACAGCTGAGTTCTCCTGTGCTCTGCAGGACAAACATAGCCTGATGACACCAGAAGCAGTTCTTTCCTCCATGGAGCAGTGCAGCAAGTAGAACCAGCCTCACAGCTCCACATGGCAAGCATGCTAAGCTTGGGGAGCAGCCCAGGAGAGCAGCTCCATCAGTAAAAGCTTTCCTGGGGGAAAC